GCGGTTGCGAGCAAACCACCGCCGATCACGCCAGCTTGTCCAACCGCCAGCAAGCAACCACAAATCACCAAGAACTGAAAAACAAAGGTTAATTTTCCCTTTCTCTTTTTCCCTTCTTTCTCGCTACAGCTAACAATGCGTCACTTTCTGTTTCATTTTCATTGCGCTTTTCCTTCTTGCTCGACGACTTTGTTCTCCGATTTGTCGCTTTACTTAAAATTTTGTTTAGATGTAAGAAGATTCCAGAATCGAAATGGCGCAATGAAGTTAAGTATCTTATACAGGGTAAAAAGACGATGAATCGTTTCAGTGCACCGTCATGCCAACATCGTTTCTTTATTCGGTTTCGTAGTTAAACGGCGGGCTTTTTCAGACTCTTCGTAACGTTAGAAACGTTGCTTGGTATGGTAAGAGATTGAAAGATATCCAGATATCGTTTGTCTCGACAGTTCCGTCTCTTACAAAGAAAACTTCTTGTAGTTTAAGATTTAAAAATATATGATATTACTTAAACTTTTTTTTTAAGCGAATTTCTGAAGCGCACTTTTGTGAAAAGTTTTATTGTATCAGTAAATTCTGTCAGACAAATTTTTTGCTAAATTATCAGAACCAGATCGAAAATTGTGGCAATTAATTCGTGGATCATCGCGTATGTCGGCGTATATGAGTCTTTTACTTACTCTAAACATGATGATGATAGGTAGGAGCTGCTTTCTTCACCGACTGGAAACGACAAACGAATTGAATGCATCTAGTGGATTTGTCAGCCTATTTATACGTAACCTCTTGTAATCCTGTCCAGATAGTTAACTTGAAATATTTTTTCACCAAAAACTTGGTATCAAGTGTCCGTCGACCAAAGACCAGCGTATTGCATAGAAGGTTTGCAACGAACCGGCATTGCAACACATACATATGGCTAGAGAAAATTTGATATCGTAAAACTCAAGTAGCAGATTGCACTGTGATCTTTCTAAAGAAGATTTTTGCTATTCGACTAGCACGAAACGAAATCGATAACCAAACTACCAGTGAGACAAAGAAATGGGGAAGGTGGAAATGAAAAATACTAATTAAACGCGTTAGAGAATGCGCATAATTTCGTTAGCTTGTGTCGTTAAATGTGTGTTATAACAAAACACCGATATGTAAATATACACCGATTGAAAAGTAAAAAACAGACAGATACCCTGCGCAATTACTCAATGTGAGTCTATCTCAAATTGCAACCGATATGTCTTGTTATCCAGGTATACTATAGAATTACAAGCTTATCCATTGTACAAAGAATCGTACGTTTGACAAATATCGCGTAGGATATACATGGATGATAGCGAACTATTGAAAAGATTGTTGTAATCTTTATGGCTGATGATTAGCGGTTCGTGTCTCAATCTATTGATTGGGGTTAGGTTACATTCAGGATCGTATATACAATATTACTGTTAGAAAATTCAAACTGACTTTAATGCTATTCATTCGTCGTTCTTTCCAAATTTCAAAGACGTCCAAGTCAACCCTGCTACGATCCTCGAATATATACGTATACACTACGCCAAGAAATGGAAAGATCTTTAAATTTTGATCGAAAACTTGTCGATATTCGAACCACTGTAACTTTGTCAATAAGAATCGTATAATACTCTACTTGGGCTCGTTTCAAAGGACGAATCGTCTACTTTCACGCCCTTAAACGTTAATTTTGTCGAAGATTCTTTTTTGTTGCGAAATAGAGTAGGAAATTAGTTATTTGTTTCCCTTTTCAAATTTTAATTTCGTATTATTTAGTAGTACATATGCACTTTTGTATGATTACAAAAATTTTATACTATGAAAATAAAACGAAGAACCTTGCCAAAGGCACTTTATTGGGAAATAATGTGTCAATACTTTTTGTAACATCTGTGTGCATTTCAATGTATAGTAGAAAGAACTGATGCTACAATGAATGAGATTCAAGAATCAATTATTTCGTTCTAACATACCCTGCTGTATGTATAAAGATGTGAGTATTTTGTCTATTTCAATTAAGTTACCTTATCTTGAATCCGTTAATAAAGTCATATTTGATTCCAAGTAATTTGGAAAAAATTCAGCGAAAACGTGAATGTAAGTAGCTTCGCAAGATCAAAAATAACAAAAATGGGAAACGAGGGCGTGGAGAGTAGAAGGGATAGAAGGCGACGCGACGGAATGAATAAACAAGTACAAAGTGAGAGGGAACGCGATCAGACGACCACTGCCGGTTGCAGTTGTTACGCAATTGACATTGGCAAATTGTAACAGAACAAGCACGGCCAAGAACTTCGAGATTTCATAAGCACGCCGGAGGCGAAGGAGTGTATTATAATTTGGTAAGATGACGTAGCAAAATGACTTGTTCGTTTTCTAATCTAAATCTTTAGCCATTAATGATTTATATGTATCTCCCGCGTTCAACATGATAGTCACAATTTCTAATAGAAGGAATAACGAAATCGTTGTATTGTTTTGTAACTCTGACAAATAGTTATAAATTATATCTTATACCGTGAAATATAAGGATAATGATACCTACATAAAAGCATATTTAATTAGAGAAAATATTTTGAATATACTGGTTTTAACAGATTCGATCGCGTCGAAGAAGTGAAAACATCATTGATACAATAGGTTTTATTTATTTAATGTTTCTCTGTAAAATACAGTAGAACATATTCTTGTTAATAACACATACTAACAATTTGTTGGCTGATTGTACTGCAACAGCATATGAGATGATTCCCGTGATATATCATTAACACCAATAGTGTCTCTGTTTGTCATATCGATTACATAGATCGTACATATGGATAGAGTTACCTAACAATTCTCCATCTCAAACTGTAGGAATGTCGGGAATAATATGCCGAGATCATTAATTAATAATTCCACCATTTTTTACATTATCGTAACGAGTTAATTGATATTATAATTTTCATATTCGAATAGACCTCGTGTTCTCGAATGCGTAACAAAAGCATCTCCACTTCAGTGTTTCAGTATGTTTCTTAACAATTATGTCATCGCGATCGAAAAATATTATATTACTAGCGATAAATTATTCACTAGATATTGCACGATAATCATTATTTTCAAAACATCCACAGACTTCGCGCACTGTAATTTGTATATATTTTTACATATTTCATTTTATCTATTTTTTTTTTAACACAGGCTTTTCGAACAATGGTCAAGGTTCAAGTAATTTTATTTTTTCCAAGATCACTTGCATTCTATAAATATAAAAAATAATATATAAACGTATGCATATGACATAACATTTTCCCCTACTTCACTTTCCTTTCTTCTCTAAAAATTAAAGATAGAATATCTTGGTTAATACGTTAAGTTTGTCAAGCGATAGATCATCTAAAAATAATTTTTGTTTCGTTTTCACGGAATATAAGTACCCCCCCCCCCCCCCCCCCCCCCCCC